TTCTTTTCTTTTCTTTTCTTTTCTTTTCTTTTCTTTTCTTTTCCTTCCTTCCTTCCTTTTTTTCTTTCTTTCTTTAGCGGTCAATAAGCTGCTCACATACACTTAATGATCATTTGATCAGTAATTAAGTTAATGCCCTCCTATCTTTGGTTCATAATACAACCAAGATTGGGCGGTACATAAAACATACCCTACCTTGGTGGTATTATTCACCAAGGAGATACCGGGTCAAGAATAATGACTTCACTTGACCGTCTACTAATCTACAACATTATTCGCATTTCTCGCAATACATCTACACTTTTCATGAACATCTTTTGAAATTTTCTCTCTCATACGTTTTAAAAGTGAATAATAAGTTTTGAAATTATCATTGCAAAAAAGTCATGATTACTCTTTTTAGTGATCTTAGCATAATTTGGATGGCCCCATGGATACTGACCTCGTTTAAGGCCCTCGTTATAAGAGGCACTCGAATCACTGATTTGTAATAAAACAGCTTTCCAATTATCATTATTCTTTCTTTATCATTATCTCCAAATAGAATCAATACGAGTGATACCATGATACCTGATAGGCGTATTACGGATATTGAATCTGTATCATCATATAATGTTTGTAAAAGAATTGATAATAACTGAGCTCTAGGCTCCTTCGTTGTAAGAATCTATAGGTATATGTCATGGGATTGGTATGCCTTTAATGAAGCGACGAAAAACGTATGTAACTCTTCCCAGTTCCCCTCTGCTTTTACCCTTAAGATAGTATTTATAATAGTGCGGACGAATCGTATTAGATCGATTTAGACAAGCTATAAATGTTACCTATACAGACTAATACAGCACCTACAATTGGATAAAAGACGTTTTGCAAGCCATTCGAGAGCCAAGTTGGCAGGTTTGTATGTAATGTTTTTGACGACATGCCACCACTAGCTACTTCAACTGTTACTGATTGATACTATTGATGGGTTGCAAGCATTCCCAAGAGAGTTAAAAGACAAAAACATGGCGGCCATTGTGGTACCGTTATCAATGGATGCTAATGAGAAATCTTTTGTTAAATGGTACCAATATGGCCGCGATGACGTAACGTGCAAACGAAGAATAAGAACGTTTTTTTTTTTAAAACACAGCTTTTCGCTCATTTGTAGCTAAATAATGCCTCCATTGACAGCACCCAGAAATATGATTAACCTCTGTTTTGCCAATGGTCACGGGATATCAAATTATTTCCTTATTTTAAAGATTATTGCATACCCTACCAGCCACTATAACCATGCAGATTTCAATCCTCTCAATCCTCAATAAGCGTCATTTACATTATTCGGATAATTTTCACGAGTTTTTTCTTCATAAAGCTTACTCGTATGGTGCTTGTTTTGCCTTTTGGCAAATATTATTGAAAATGGTTATAAATATACTGCGAATCCCTTAGTAACAGATGTAAACAAAGCTTTTAATTCCGCCATTGTAATGAGCCTAACGGATATGAAATCTAATGAATAACAATTGATATTTTCCCAAGTGATCTAGAAAAATAAATTGATCAAAGAATTACTTCAGTTAAGCATAAAATGACCTTGACAGCAAGGTTGTGGGATTCCATCAGGTTTCGGTCCTCTTTGAGGCTAGTACGCATGCGCTGAGGGACTGCTATAGTCGCAACCGAACGAACGGACCTGATAATACTAAACGTGGGCGTTTGTCAAAACTTTAGCATCCTTTTGACACTAAGCCACCGTATCATGATTCAATCCGGCCCACTGGGTCAAGCATGTTGACTGGTGTTGAGACAATAATGGCAAGGGAGATCAGTGAAAACACATGTTTATAGACTGATTTGGTATAGCTGCGGGCTAGAAAAAATCTTAGTTTAGACAATTAATTAGGAAAGACAGATTATTCTTATATTATATTCGTTGAAGTGCAAATCTGAGGTTTAAAACACTTATGACAGTAAGATCAACAAGACACTTATTGCTTCCATGAAGATATTCTCACCCTTATGCATGCTTGTCACAGCAGAAAGATGTCTTGAACGATCTTACTAAAATAATTTTGGAGAACATATGATAAAGGATCTTGACGCTAAGCCGATTAAAACGGCTCTTAAACCGACTTGCATAAAGATATCTTTTCGGCCCTCAGGCTAACTTGCCTTAAAACTACTAAACTAATAATACTGAGCAGATAAACATTTATTAAAGGACCTCATATATTTCTATCAAGGCCATGAGTCTCAAAAAAAAAAAAAAAAGAATAATTGAGGATACTGTATGCTCACGACTATGCGATTTTCAGAGAGGTTTCAACTAAAATTAAATAAATATACACTTATTTCAATAAATTTAGTCACCTGAAAAGCTATAAAGCTGAGGCCGACAAGGATTATGGGTAGATTCATTTTACACGTTCAACCGCTTGATAACCGTACATAGACTTGCGAATCTTTTACCGGTTACAGTCTCACCTCTTCTGAGCATCATCGAGCTGCAGTTTGTATTAA